TGACTGTACTTTTTTTTTTTTAATCCTTAGTGGGAAAGGTGACTCTCCTGAGGCCCGTGCGTTGGCTAAGCAAATAGCTACATCACTTCAGAATTTACAGTCCAAAACAAACAGGGCTGTAGCAAATACTAGGCCAGTTAAAGCAGCTGTCCATTTGGAGGGCAAGATTGAGCAAGCTCAGAGGTGGATAGACAATCCTACAGTTGCTGATCGGGGAGTAGGTAAGTGTTTCCGTGTGCTCTTCCCTCCACAGTTTTATGGTTAAACTTGTTAGTAATTTTTATGACTGAAACTACTGCTCCTGAGATGCTGAGGATGTGTGGGATCTCTTCACTGATGTGGAGATCTGCAGTTTGTGGCTGGAGGTTTATAGCCAAGTCCTGGCTGCAATACTATTTAATTAAGCTGGCCTATGATTCTCTTTATCTTCTGTAAAGAACAACTTTGGCAAGGAATAGGACAATGTGTGCTGTAGAACAGACAAACTTTAGACCTCTCCTTGCTTTTATTATAATGCAATTACTGTATCTCGAATTTGAATTTATACCTACTGCAGCAAATTGAGTAAGTAAGTCCTTCAGAGAGGAGAAAAACATTCATAAACCTGACCTAAAATATAATTTCTTGTACAGTTTCTGGGTTATTTGAGGAGAATGCTACTTAATCAAAGAGAAAGGTGATCTGAGAATCCAAGCGTACTATCAGCGAGCATATAATTATGGTTCAGGAGTTGCTCTACTGAAAGCTTATTGTAAACTATTTCTGAAATTACTTGTTTAGCTTCTGATGCTGTTGCAAGTAGGTGGATGAAGCTTGAAAACTGGATTCAATAGTTTTTTCCATAGCAGTGAAGTCTGAGCAGTGTAATTGGTAACGATGAGTGGAAACATGCCTTATAAGAAGTAGTAAAACTGCAAACCTTTAATACCTCTTTCTCATACCTTTTCCTTTCTCTAAAGTTAACTTGAATAACCAGTGAGAGATCCTTGAATTAAGGGTACCTATAGGAAAGTTAAATTAAGAATGTAAACTGGATATGTGCTCTCTTCAGTCTGGATAGCACTTCTGGTAGAATTTGGCCTGATATTTTCAGTCCTGTGATAATGTGAAAATACTTCAGTGTTCTCTGAAGGAGTAACGACCATGTCACAAGTAACTCTGTGTGTTTGCAGTTGTCCCGGGGTAGTGCTTCAACACAAACTGAATTTTGAAGTAATGAGGCAGAATGTGTATTTTGTTTTATAAACACATAAGCCAGTTCAGTAGTGTTAGCTACTACAAATATTTACGTGCAGTCATACTATGAATTATCCTAGCTAAATGATGGCTAAACTAATTGTAATTGGCAGATACAAACTAGGCAAGATGTATTGAAATACTGGTGTGTGAAGTGTACTTGCTTGGCTGCACTTGACTTATGCAAAACAACAATTAAAAAATATCTTGGGACATTGCAACAGCACCAAACTTAGCTACGCTAATAAGCTTTCTAAAATTATGATGGCAGTGCCAAATGATTCTTGGATAGTCAGGTCCTGTGACAATGTCTTTCTAAGTAATTTTGAACTTGATCATCAACTTAGAGTACTTGTGTATTAGCATTGGCTTAAATTGACTCTTCAGTAGGTCTTTAAAGGAACTAATATACATTGACTTCTTTTAAAAGAATACTACTATTGTATTATTAAAAGGAGGAGTATATTCTTGTGAAAGAACAGGAAGCTTCGATAATGAATGAATGAAATCACCCATGCTAAAAATAGTTTTTTTAACAGAGAAACTTTCCATGCACTGTGGAGGTTTTATACGGTGTTCCCCTCCCCCCGCATCCTGGACACTTGACGTTTCTTACCCATGATTTCTGGAATCCTGGGAGTGTGTGTGCTGTTTTTTCATTTATGTTTTCTACTTGGCTTTTCTCCCCTCTTCCTGCTCATCTCCTAATGACTTGTAATGATGTGGAGATGAACTGCAGTAGCTGGAATTTGCAAGTGCTTTCTATTGGAATCAACAGATTAGTTAGGTAGGAATAGTGACAGCTGTAATGGCTAACTTCTGTCAGACCACCCTAGTTAAAAAGGTGCATCTCTAGCCAGTGTTGCTGTAATAAGAAAAGTTAAACTGGTGAGAGTTGAATTCCTCTGTGGTCTTGAACTGCAGTTACTCAATGAAAAATTGCAGAAGATCCTTTTCCCTACCTAGAACGGTGTTCTTAAAAACCGAAGAATTCTGAAGTGTCGCTTACTTCATGGTTCATCTGATTTGTGCTTTCAGTTTTTTGTTCAACTGTATGTTAATGCAACGTGCCTTCTTCCACTGTAGGCCAGGCAGCAATTCGAGGTCTGGTTGCAGAAGGTCGTCGTTTAGCCAATGTCATGATGGGACCTTATCGTCAAGACCTGCTTGCCAAATGTGACCGTGTAGACCAACTGGCTGCTCAGCTAGCTGACCTCGCAGCAAGAGGGGAGGGAGAATCTCCTCAGGCCAGGGCAATTGCTGCTCAGCTACAGGACTCGCTGAAGGTAAAAATCTGCTCTTGCGCGGTGAAATACATGGTACACTGAAGGATTTGCACTCCTCTGATAAGGAGCTTGTGTGTGGGAGGCATCAATAAAAACAGAACTGCAGCAAAAAAACCATTGTTTTAGCTTAGATACTTAGAGAAAACTTTCTCCAAAGGGCTTGATATCATACTATAGGGATTAATTCCAGATGAACAACTTAGAAGTAAAATCAAAGTCTCATTTTAAAAGAAAATAGTATACTCGCACTGCAAATTTGTGGAGCAGGGTCTCAAATTGTGCTGTTCATAACTTTTGATGCTGCTTCAAGGAGTGGGTATGTAAGCTTCTTGTATTTCAGATTACTTAAAAAGGGATTAGTTGACTATGCTTTTATGATAATTTTATCTGGGCTTTTTTCTCTTTCTTCAAGAAGAAGTTTTATGAGATTTGAATTCCTACAAACTTAATTATTCCTATATCAGATATTAATAATTTTCCTTTTTTTTTTAAGGATCTTAAAACACGGATGCAAGAGGCAATGACCCAGGAGGTTTCTGATGTTTTTAGTGACACCACAACTCCTATTAAATTATTAGCAGTAGCAGCCACTGCTCCTTCTGATGCTCCCAATAGAGATGAGGCAAGTATACCCACGTGGTCTTTTTCCCATGTGAAGCTTCAGTTATTGTTTAATTCTACCCAAATTGGTATTTTGAGAAATGAATTGGTATTTCTTTCTCAAGCTTGTGATACATGCTTATTCATTCTGACGGCAAATCTCTCTGGACTCTTGGAGATTGTGAATTGTGCTGTATATCCCTGGAAACTGTATTGTCCCTGACTTCAATAAACGACAAAGCTTTCTCCCTCTGATGTTTGTACCACGTTGCCTTTAGCATGCTAAAAATCCTTGTGCAAAAATCACTGACACACTAGTTAGTGGACTGTATATCTCAACATTATAGAAGCTGATTAAAACAGTTAAATTCATGCCAAGACTGATCAAGAGATTTAACCTGTTCTCTTGCTGGGTCATGTTTCCTGTACTGGCTACTGGCTGCCTATGAAGTATCTGAAACTCTGTTTGGCTAGTTGATCTGAACATGATCAAAATGATTCCTAAGGCCTTGGGGAATTTAGGTTTATGATAGGATAGCTTTTTGTCAAAGTATTCTGTGCCTTAAATAATTAAGGACTGTAGAAAGAGGGAATTTTTTTCCAATATGAAGCTTCAATTTTTAGGGTAAAACCCCATATTTATCTTCCAAATATAGTTACTTTTGGATTATAGGTTTGAAGATTAATCTCTATGGGCTAAAATAGTTTTAACACTGTTCAAAAGTATTTGCAGCAGTAGTCGTCAGGAATTAGCGTCCTTAAATACCTCAAAGCTATGAAGTGTGATGGTATCCTTTGTTTCCCAAATGAGTTAATAAATAAGAAAGTCCAGTAATGTAAAGATTAAAAAGATAAAATGGCTTTTGTGTCCTCTTGCATCCTCTCAGGAGACAAATTAAGTCTGGATGTTATGAAGGTGTATCAGATATTTGATACTTTGAAGAAATTGTGTATTCTGTTAGGGAAGTTAGGCTTGTTTAATGTTTTTTTCTCTTATGACAACTAGGTGTTTGATGAAAGAGCAGCAAACTTTGAAAATCATGCTGCTAGACTGGGAGCTACAGCAGAAAAAGCAGCTGCAGTTGGAACTGCGAATAAAACTACTGTGGAGGGCATTCAGGCAACAGTGAAATCAGCAAGGGAACTTACCCCACAGGTTTGCTTCCTTAGTCTCGAAGGGCTAGTAAAAGGGCTGGGGACAACTTCTGCGCTCAGAGAAAAATGTTAATACCAGCAAGGAAGGCTGATACTCTTAAAAGGGGAATGGCAAATATTTGTGTATATGATACCGAATAGAACAAACTGATTAAATGGCATGTCTTACTCCTCAACTTTTGGACAAAAGTGTTAGTGACCTATCCTTGAAACAAAATTACTCTGAGGCTTAGTAAAATATGTAAGTGGAAAAAATGTTCTGTAATGATTATTTTTTTTTTTTCAAATTAAACTTCCATCTAAAATTTTGGTAGTGTAATAAGTGTTGTACTTTAGTGCTTTTATATAAGTGTTTTTAAGATATATTAGCATGTAATTGAAATTCCAGAAAAAAGTATGTGTCAACAAATTCCAGAAGCATTGTAAATCTTCAAGCAGCTAGATGTTGAACTAGAATTAATGAGCTAGTATTCCAAATGAGGAGCTACAAATCCAGTCCCGAAAAAGCGAGTGTATTCTCAAGAATGTGTGATGTCATTATATACGGATACTTCCATAATAATTTTTTTTTTTTTTATTGGCAGGTGGTATCAGCTGCTCGTATCCTTCTGAGAAATCCTGGAAATCAAGCTGCTTATGAACATTTTGAGACCATGAAAAACCAATGGATTGATAATGTAGAAAAAATGACAGGTAAAGTAGGAATTTTTGTTGAAAATTATACTTGTGACTAGTTTGCGTTGATGAAACATGCATAAGAGTAATGACTGATTAAAAACAAATTGAGAAGTGGGAATGTGCTCTCTAACTCCAGAAATATGTATATATTGTTTCATATATGTTAATTTTGAGGTGCAGGGGAGCAAATTTGACTTTAGTTCTTTTGTGGGAAAACCAGAATACTGTTAATTTTTATTGTGATTGCTATTCTAGCAGTATATCACTGTAGCAACTTGAGGGTTTTTTCTGCATAATCTTGCCATGTTGAATGAGGACAGATAATTAAGTGGCAGTAAGAGAACGTGTTCAAAATGATGCAACAGCTTGATGAAAGCGGTGTATAAAACAAAGCTACTGATCTACTGAGTCTTGCTGAGACACTTAAATGTTTCAGTCCTTTCAAAATGCAGATCCTTTGCACTGGTTTGCTAATCTTCTGACTATATGCTACCTCCTCCATCCCCATAATTGTGGGTGTTTTAAATCTTACCGCCTTGTCACTATGTATCACCCTTAAGTAAAAGCACAGCCAGAGGGATATTTCCTTTTGAATGAATGGGAGAGGTACAGAAACTACTGAATATGCTTAAAGACATTTGTTGAGAAGAAGGAGTCTCTGCTGCATATACTGTGTAAGCCAGTTCTTGACTCAAGCAGCATTCCACAGTAGATGAGTAAGAGCTTGGGTATCATTAGCGGGGATAAGCTTTACCACGGTTGCTGTCAATCAGAATTAAAACTGCAGTAATACGTTTGGTCTGACTTCCATGCCCCCTTCTGCCCCTCCCCACCCCCTAGTTTGGAAAGACTTACCCCTTTCCACAGATAATAATAGAATATTAACGTGTTTAACTTTTATTCTAGGGTTGGTGGATGAAGCCATTGATACTAAATCTCTGTTGGATGCATCAGAAGAGGCTATTAAGAAAGATCTTGATAAATGTAAAGTTGCAATGGCCAACATTCAACCTCAGATGCTGGTAGCTGGTGCCACCAGCATTGCTCGACGAGCAAACCGCATCCTACTGGTAGCAAAACGGGAGGTTGAAAATTCAGAAGACCCTAAATTCCGGGAGGCTGTTAAAGCAGCCTCTGATGAGCTGAGCAAAACTATATCACCAATGGTAATGGATGCTAAAGCTGTGGCAGGAAACATTTCTGATCCTGGTAAGGGTTCAGTCAGCTCATTTCAAATGATTGTGAAGTAGCGCTCACATCATCTTTCAAATGAAGATGATGTGAAGTAGTGCTCATTTTGTCTTGTACATCTGTGTTTCTTTCCCCTTTTATAAAAATTTTATGTACACTTATATCCCAAAATGGTGAAATCAAGGTCACACCACTAACTGAATCCTGCTCTTTTAAAATGCTATCAAACACCTTTGGCATATTCGAGGGAAAATGATTCAGCATTTTAGTTATGTGATTTCATAATCTTTATTAGAAGTATTTGTTACTAGTTATCAGTAGTACTATTTTATATAAGAAAATATTACATAATTTCTTTTATTCTAAAAGATGTTTTGGGAATTACTTTGGCTATTGAGAGTGACTATTACTCAGCCTAGGTTTTATTTTATGCATGCTGCATATGACACTAACATTTCAAACATGTAAATCCACTGCAAACAATGTCGTTTCTAAACACTTTCTTTTCACAGATATAAGTGTACTTGGCAGAATGGAGAGGTTTTGGAGTAGTGTTGTACTACAGAATGCTATTAAACTGGTACTGGGATTTTTGTTCAGGTTTGCAGAAGAGTTTCTTGGATTCTGGATACAGAATTCTGGGAGCTGTGGCCAAAGTCAGAGAAGCCTTCCAGCCTCAGGAACCAGATTTTCCCCCTCCTCCTCCTGACCTTGAGCACCTTCATGTAAGTGCAGCATGGTTTGAAATACAATACGCAGTTGTCACTGACAGCATGTGGATTTCATACTGAAATTAATTAAGTATATTTTTATTCCTTAGAAATAAAATACATTGTCTGGACAGCCATGCATACAAGTAGCCTTAAGTCTAAAAAAATACCAATCCAGCTCTCAAAAGCAGAGATTAAAACATGGTATTTCCTTTAACAGAGTGAACTTGAAAAACTAGAAAAAGGCCTGAGCTCCTGCACTCATGTCTTGCCGTGACACTGTCCTTTACTCAATCTGTGTACTATTTTGTTGCACTGATTAAGATTTTTGCCTTTCTAAGCTGACTGATGAGCTTGCTCCTCCAAAACCACCACTTCCAGAAGGTGAGGTTCCCCCGCCCAGACCACCACCACCTGAAGAAAAGGATGAAGAGTTCCCAGAGCAGAAAGCAGGAGAAGCTATTAATCAGCCCATGATGATGGCTGCTAGGCAGTTGCATGATGAAGCCCGGAAATGGTCTAGCAAGGTAAGAAGTTGTTAACACATGTCTTGTGCTAAAAGGAATCTATCTATCTATCTATCTGTCTATATATATATATGTATATATATTTTTTTTTTTAGGATTAGTGTGTTCAGTCCAAAGTCAGTTGTCTCAGTGACAACCAACTAGTGAAAACATAGCTGCAGGAGGAATTAGAAACCCTTTCAAGCTCATGCTGAACTAGGGTCAACTGTTCTAATACTCAGAATTACTAGAATGCTTTATTAACAGCATTATCTCTGTGAACAGAAATATGCTTTGTATGCTGAGCTGTTTGTGATCCTTGATGCTAGTATTGCCTAGAAAGCCACTAATACTATGCCTTTCTAGGCTGACAAGCTGATTGCTAGTCTAAGTGACTTTGAAAAGTCTGTATGGATGTTGCAGATGCCAGCTGCAGGTACCATGAGCTGGTTTATCTTAATTCTGGAAGGAGCTGCATGTTACTTTGCAGTTAATCTGGTGCATTTATGATTGGAGAAGTGAGCATATATAGATGACCTGGTCTCAGTTCTCTTTTGTAGTTGAGTCATGCTCACTATCAAGGCCAAAATCCATAATTTCTGTACCATTTCAGTGCTGTGACAAAACAGTATGAACTCGTCAGTCTTACAAATGCTAATATAACTTCTTTGCTTTCCCCTCTTTTTTCCTCAAAGAGCTACATTTTTCTCTGGCAGCAACTGAGTAAGAACTTCTGAGATTTAGGCTTCTGCAGGTATAAATTAAAGGTCAGAATTTGTCTTTTAAAATCTCTGCTTTTTTTTCTCCACCAAATTAGATGGTAAATGAGAAGGTAAATTTGAATAGCTTATAGAATCAACTTCAGTACTTTGTGCTTAAGGAACATCTTTTTTGAAAGTACAGATAAGATACAAAAGAAGCCCTGCAAATCTGTTTGAGTGTCTCTTCCATAAAATGAAAAGCTCTATTTTCCCCATACTTCTGGATATACCAAATAAATATTTATATTACTAAAGGGACTGTACTGGAATGTATTAATAAACTCAGAAGGTAATTTTGAGGCCAGTAGCTTTGATTTCAGCTTCCTAAAAGTGTTTTGATGTTTGAATTCCAAAATGAGTAACTTAACAATACACAGTAGGTAATAAAATGCTTTTACTATATACATTCTAAATTAAATAGTGCAACTGATAAAATACTCACTTTATCAAAGCTAAGCAGCAGACCTTAAAAATCCTTGCTAATTATGAGAGAGCTCTAACCTTAGTGTCTTTAGATTATAAACCACTATTTTAATTGCTGTTTCTTTAATTTTAGGCCAACAAACCAGTAAGTTAGCCTAGCATTTAATCTTCTAATTCTTTTTTAGCATTCCCATTTTAGCAATAAGAGTACAGTTATTCTGACAGTATGTCTTGGGGGGAAGAAGTTTTAAAAACATTCTTGTAGTCTCTGTAGCCACATATTGGGTGGAAGAGGAATTGATGGACAGTGCTATTGAAGAATATGAGTTAGACCTGGAAAGACAGAAATACAAGGTCTTGCTCATACTAAATCACAATAGACTGTGTGTCAACTGTCTTCTGCTTTTTTGTCCCATTACATTACTGGTATTTCACCATTTGTTAAATTTATGGGGGGGGTGAACAAGTACTTAGGCTTAGAAAAACTTTGGTAACATTCTTCATATCTGTAAGATTTAAAGTCAGTTTGGTTTTAGTCCTTCTTTACAAAAACTTCTCTTCACTGAGTGGATTCATTTTTCTCATGAAGCACAGACTGAACGCTGTCTATTGCTTTAGCTTTCCCTGCCTTTCCGCCTCACTTGGGTAAATCAGAGAATGAGGGATATTTGGAAACTTTTCATTAGATTAAGACTTAAATCGAAGTTGTCTTTGAAGATAAGTTGATTTTGCAGTATGTAAGAGTTACAACTTCCAAAACTTCTGTATGTTTTCAGTAGTGTAGATGGTTTTTTCTATAAAAGGCTGTATCTTAAGCAAAACACAGTTGAAAATTAATAGTTTTTGGTAAGGGTAGTTTGACTTTTATCACGCTTTGCTTTAGTCAAAGAAATACAGTTAGTAAACTTGTAGAATATTTTTGAATTTAAATGCTGCTGTATTATAAATGCCTTTATTGTTATACCACTTACATCTTCCTTGTGATCTACCCTAACACTGTATTTGCTATATTTGCTTGAATCCTTTCTTTTTTTTTTCTTGAAGGTAATGGATACAACAATTGTGGCAAAACACTATCATATGCTTCATAATCCTCTTATTCTACTAATTCTGTTTCAGTCTTTTTAAGAACTGTAATATTCACAGTATTCATAACATTCAGTATCACCTCCTCTTTTCATAACCCGTTTTTGTTCTTTTTCATGTTATCTGTGGTACTTCAATACACACTTCTACAGTGTTTCCTGTCCCACCTTTTTTAACTCTACAGCAAGAAGTGTCAGTGGTTTTTCTGTGATCCCGCTTCCATCTTTTCTTATTACATATATGTAAATGGGCTTCCATACAAAGCTTTCTATCTGCATAAATACCAGTCATCCATCAGCTGCTGTGCCTGCTTCTATGCAGTCAGAATGTCTTTCACTGAAACAGAAAATCCATTCATTTCACCAATGTTTTGCCAGAAAAATGTTGTTCTGCAAGTCTGCCTCTGTCTGTAGAAGCTGTATGCTCAGATGGAAAATGTTGCTGCTTCTTTGAATTGTAACTCCTTAATATTTTTGGTAACTTTGGTTCACAGGCAAAACATTTGTTTCTCTCTGCTAATCTTGTATTCCTTCCCCTCTGACCTGATCCTAGAGCTACCCTGTTAGACCTGGAGAGTCCAAGAGGATGTTTTGGTCACTAAAACAGCTCAGTTCATGCTCTTCTACCAAATTCTGCTTCTTGTACTAACTGTCCCCTGTTTCTCCACCCTTGCTGCCACCTGCAAAGCCTGATGTGACTGTGATTAATGAAGCGGCTGAGGCTGGTGTAGATATAGATGAGGAGGATGATGCAGATGTTGAATTCACTCTCCCCTCTGACATTGAAGATGATTACGAGCCTGAGCTGCTGTTAATGCCAACCAATCAGCCCGTTAACCAGCCCATTCTGGCTGCTGCTCAGTCTCTACATCGAGAAGCAACCAAGTGGTCTAGTAAGGTACTCCTGAGTCTCCCCGGGACTGATCTGTGTGCATCCAGCCATTTGGAACGCTGACACATTTGCATCACTCTTGATCCCTGCTGGGCCCGGCCATTCTGAATGAATAAGTGTGTCTGCACTTCATCTTAAGGACTGAGAGTGGCTTCACAAGTTTGCTAGATCTGTTTGTCAGTGATGGACTGAAGCTTGATTTGGGTCACTTATTAATATGCAAAGCTTCCTCTCCCTTTGCATCAGCCTGTTCTTCTTTGTTCTGGCAGTTTTAAAATTGAAATAGGGGTTGTCTTCCCCCCCCCCCCCCCCCCCATTCTTTTATCCATTCATGTGGGCTACCTGGGAAGCCATGGTTAATGGTTTCTTAATGACTTCCAGATACAGCAGAGTATACAGCATTCAAGAAGTCATTTAACGTGTCTATTGTGCTTTGCCTCCATTGATGCCATCAATTAAAATACCTTCCAACAAGGAATGGCTTTGTATGGCAGTGTTTATCGAAGAGGAGTGACTGCTGGCTTGCACTTGGCTGTGTTGCAAATGCTGGTCTTGAGCGAATTCTTTTATGAAGAAGCTGCTCTGAATGCTGTTATCTGCTGAACTGAGATCGCGTGTCTGTGAAACTAGTGGAAATCTAACATGAGGTTCAGACATTCACAAGTAGCCTGCCTCTTCTGTCTAAGCACACATGTTTGCAAGACTGGTCACTTTTTATAGCATGCTGCAAAAAATAAGGTTGGTGTCCCATAACAAACAAAGGTTAGGGGGGTGTGTATATGTATGTGTATGTGTATATATTTACATAGGTAGATATACAAAACTATTTTAATAAAAAGGGCTTTAAAAATGTTCTTGTCCTTTTCAGATTCTGATGCTGGGATAACTTGTTAGAGGGCTTCGTAAATGACACTGGTCCTAATTTCTTGATCCTTCTACGTGAAAACATGGAAAAGCTTTGTGTTATGTCATTTGCATCCTAACTGTAATATTAGCAAACTGTTTAACTATTAGGTCATGGTAACAAATAAGTCAGCTTTTTGTTCACCTGTATCTGCAAAATATCTGGGATATCTTCTTGAATTTGCTAGTAGTGAATCATGGAAGTATGTGCACAGGGAGAGAGAATACATTTGCTAAGTTGGGTTCTCACGGTGTTCTCTTTGCTGTGAACTTCATCCATCATTAATTGTGGAATTATACAGAGGAAAGAAACGCACTCTGCTAATCACTCTGCTAATATTTCATCCACACAATAGGAATGCTTCATGGCACCCCAGTAGTTCAGGTTTGTCTAACAACTTTCTGCAAAGGTAAATCTAAATATACTAACAGACTACTAACAATTGATCATCCTGGTCTGCTTTTTCTTGCACTAGGTTTCTCTCTGGAACAGTGTGTAAAAAATGGTTTTGCCTTGGTCATACTTAACTCACGTTTTGAATATTTCTGAAAGTATTTCTGTGACTGTGATTTTAATGTACAAGAAATCTGGATTTGAATGCAATAAATCACTAGATTATCTTTTGAACTATCATGTTGTTCTCTCCTGGAAGCTTTATTTTAAAGGGGGAGATTTTGTCAAAAAGGCAGATTTATTTTCAAGGAATAACTTAAGAAAAAAACAAAGTAATAGTTGCATCTCATTTCCACATTACCTCTGACAAACATTTTGTATGTTACAACATCTCTTTCATTTATCCTTTTGCATTATAGCAACGTAGCTGATGCTCTAACAACTTCAGTTTCAGATGCTACTGAAAATTCTATGCTCAACTGTTACGACTACACTATTTAACTTAATTAGTGCTATTTGGTTTACAAGCTATTTAGCACACTTTTTTAATTTAAAAAAGTCTTTTTTGGGAAATCTGGAATTTCGAATGCTAATAACGTGCTTTATCTTAAAACCTAGTCAGCAGAGCAGTAACTCTCATTCCATGGACAAACTAACACATTTCTTTACCAGTTCTTTTCCAGTTTTGAAGTGAACTTTTTTCCTCAGTGTTAGGAAGAAAAATGTCAGACACGTATAATTAGCACAGACCTTCCCTGTTCCTTGAAGAAACCTCTTCTGTGTTCACAAATGGTTCTTCCATCCTTAACTTCTTGAAAGGGTTGCTACCAAAATGTAGACTGCCATTCGGTTGTGACTTTTGTGTAGCTTCTGTCCTGGCATGAACACTAACTCCCGTTGTTCTCTTCAGGGTAATGACATCATTGCTGCTGCTAAACGAATGGCGCTGCTCATGGCAGAGATGTCGCGCCTGGTGAGAGGAGGTAGTGGAAATAAGCGTGCCCTTATTCAGTGTGCAAAGGATATTGCCAAGGCATCAGATGAAGTCACTCGATTAGCCAAAGAAGTGGCAAAGCAGTGCACTGACAAGCGCATTAGAACAAACCTCTTGCAGGTAATGAGTTAACCTGAAAATGCCTCACATACCTTTTTTTTTTTTTTTTTTTTTTTTTTTTTTTTTAAACTTCCTTTTCTCTGTTCCTCAATTAGCGTGAGTGAGCGTGGGAGTTGTGGCAGGAAATCATGTGTATCTTGCCTTGCCTTGTAAAGTTTTGTCAAGTTCTATGTCTGTTTTTAGATCCCGTGGCAATACATATTCTGTTAAATCAGGATTTGTTTCCAGGTGAGTGGAGATGCCAGTGGCCAAAGAGGTTTTGAAAAATACTGTGCTATGAACACTGATCTGCCCTAAGCCTGTGTCGCTTGGTATTTCATCTACTTGTTCCTTTATATTAAAGAACAGAAGCCAAAATATAACACTCCTTAGTTTTTCAGTCTCAGCCAAATATACATCATCCCATTCCTAGCCAAGCAGGCCCTTGAGGAATCACAGAATCACAGAATGTTGGGGATTGGAAGGGACCTCAAAAGATCATCCAGTCCAATCCCCCTGCTGGAGCAGGAACCTAAATGAGATCACACAGGAAGGCGTCCAGGCGGGTCTTGAATGTCTCCAGAGAAGGAGACTCCACAACCTCCCTGGGCAGCCTGTTCCAGTGCTCTGTCACCCTCACCGTAAAGAAGTTCCTTCTGAAATTTAAGTGGAACCTCCTGTGTGCCAGCTCCCACCCATTGCCCCTTGTCCTACCATTGGGCATCACTGAGAAGAGCCTGGCTCCATCCTCCTGATATTCGCCCTTTACATATTTATAAACATTAATGAGGTCACCCTCAGTCTCCTCTTCTCCAAGCTTAAGAGCCCCAGCTCCCTCAGCCTTTCCTCAGCAGGGAGATGCTCCACTCCCTTGATCATCTTGGTGGCTCTGTGTTGGACTCTCTCAAGCAGTTCCCTGTCCTTCCTGAACTGTGGGGCCCAGAACTGGACACAATATTCCAGATGTGGCCTCCTCCTATCTGGAGGAAAAGAAAAAAATGTTGTCTCCATCCCCAAAATTCCCAAAGCACGTAAAATTGTAAGATTTAAGTGTCCTACCAATATTTGTCAGAAAGTCTCGAAGGTGTAAGGTCTCCTCTGTGGTCATTCCTTACCTAACACTGAACCGAAATCAGTGTACTGGCTCCGTTCACAACGTGTCTGTGCTGTCCCCCTTCCTCAGGTCTGCGAGCGGATCCCCACCATCAGCACACAACTGAAAATCCTCTCCACTGTCAAGGCCACCATGCTGGGCAGAACCAATATCAGCGACGAGGAGTCGGAGCAGGTGAGAGCCGTGAGAACGGACGGCAGCGGGGCACCGCGGATCGGTTCTGCGGGGAACGGCGCTACCTGCGGCCTGGGGGGTGCTGCGGGGG